CAGGAAGCCCAACTACTAAAAGTACACAAAGCATCTGTTTTTGTAGGATTTCTGATTCTTTAGAGTATCTCTACTCACTTTAAACGTTAAGAAATATTGATACTTACTCCTAAATAATCYATACTGTCTGGCAGAACTTCCGAAGTAGGGAAAAATGTAGCTAGAACTAACATCTATTATAAAAAAGAATTCAGTGATAAATGGATGAAATCTGAATAAGTTTAAGACRAAAGTTAAAGAGTATCTTAGTCTTTAAAAAGGATCTTCCTTACCTTRCATAGCTGAGTGACTAAATAAGCGCCTCCTGCTTTCACGCATTGCCAGAATGCGCTGTATTCTGACCTACAAAGTRGAAATACGAGTTAAAGATTATGATCCTGTTTGGCATCGTAATAAAATGCCGTAAAAATATACTACTTACAAGCCAGAACATTTATATACAATTAAATAAGGAAAATAAGCTAAAGCTAAGCAGTTTCCGAAGTGAAATAGAGTCATTTTGATGTCTGTTTGGATGAACAGACGCGAAAAGAAAGTCAGGTGAGCAGGGACTATATTGAGCTGGGCCGTWATTGTATGRGGTACATGATTTGGGAACCCTGWGTTATGTGCATAATACTTTGATATTACAATGTATCATTCAACATTATTTGTTACATTACAGTAATTCTCAACGCTTATTGTAGGATATTGGCTTTTACTTCACGGTCTATCCTTGCAACACTTGCGTTATTTTATAACATTATGGCTCTACATAGGGGAACTAATTGGATATGTACAGATCCGTTTGATATTGCGGGCTCAGGTACCTTGGCGCGCTTTTCAAATAGATCGTTGAATTACAAGTTGTTTTCTTGTGACTTTGTTTTTATAAAGTTTTTGATAAAAATGCCTCGTGTTAAGAGGAATCGAGAGACCCGTCGTAAACGCCCTGCAATGCCTGAAGGTGATGCAGAAACCTCAATGACTGAAGACGAAAGAAGACAAAAACTGGACGATTATTTACAAGACTTCGATGTACAAGGTAAGCTCCACGATGAAATCTAGTCTATAAAATATTCTTTGGTACCCTACATATTTTGATATAAACTTAAGATCTGTCTTCCTCGAACATTTCAATTTATTGGATTTATTTACTAGTGAAGTCAAGGATTGAGCAAATGAAGCTCCAAGCAAAATCAATAATATCGTCGATAAAAGGAGCGTACCATTTGGAACTCATGAAGATGCCTCCGGTATGTTTCCCGATCTTATTTTGTTTTCAAGCTCTACGAGCTTATGATTTCTMCTACATAGTTCGTTGCTGATCTATATTAAGGCTGTAATAAGCTTACATATATTCRCTTTTCAGAATATTAGAAAAATGAAGCTCTGTGATTTTTATGGTAGGTACTGCAAA